GTATTGATACCAAGTCCATTAAATTTTCACATCCTCTTATCAGGTAGACTACACTAGTGCTCTGTTTTCAGACAAAATAAGCTATAATACCTTTTATCCGATAAACAGAACAAGTCACAGCGAAAACATTTGTCTATAGTTTACAGAAATTTCCTCTCTTATTAGAATCAAAGATTAATAAAGTTGTTATTGGCTCCCAGATATCAGTGGGGCTTTGTACAACTATTACGATGCAGTTGTAGCATAGAAAAACACTGTCTTGGATGGAGTGGGGGATATTGAAAACTCACATTTAAAACTGGTAGTTTGTTTGTTTGTCGCAAAAAAAGCAACTCGAGGGTTGTCTGCGTTAACTAATCTTAATTTTGAAATGACAGACTAAATGAAAGGCAGCTAGACACCACCACCCTCCGACAATTCTTGTTTGAATAGTGGAACCTGGCCGTCTATACACGTTCTTATGTGCACAGTGTACACCTTTTTCTTTCTTTAACAGAAAACAAGAAATCTGCGTTTAGATTGTGCAAACGATACTTGAATTTTATGAAGTCAAATACTATTTCTTCCTACGTTTTGCATTTTTCTTGAAACTGATGTAAGTATACACCTAAAAATTTCACATACACGGTAACGTGTTTCAAAAATAACTTTGCGACACTGTACATTCTCCATAGCCTACGCCTTAATGACATAACTTGTTTTACTCAGTTTTAATGAGTGAAAGTATAGAATGGTATGTAACGATATGTCAACTATATCTGCTATATCTCACAATAGTGGAGCTAATCAGTCCGACAAACATTGTTATGGTGAGAAGTACAGTTGATGAAGTGCAATTATTATTAATTTTATGAGTTATTTGCAAATCAGGATTAGGGTAAGGATCAGTAAGTGTGGAAAACATTTCCTTCTGATCAACACTAACGACTAGTTTCGTAAACTTCCTCGGACTTTTTAACAACGGTTGCAACTTTACCGGATTATTAAACTAGCAGAACTGAAGTTCTGTGAACACTATCACACAAACAACATCATCCCACAACATTATCACACAAACAACATCATCACCCAACATTATCACCAAGAATTATAATTACTTTCCCATATTTGTTTTTCTACCAAAAGTTAAAATATTCAATCAATACATTTTTACAACTGAATATAAAGAAACGGTTTCTGTTCTGAGAAAAGCGGTTTTACACTATACACAAAGTACGTCAACTAATAACGATTTCTATAACTTTCAAACAGTGGGAAATGTTCTTCGTAATATTTTAGGAACTTTGAAAAATGTACAACGAACGTCACATCAGAACTAACCAATAAACTTTAAATTTTATAAAACAAATGATCAAATACCCCACTTCCAAATCTGCCTATATGAATTACATACAAAGAACGAACAGAAGTTTATATATATATATATATATATTTAATTTCACTCAGTAAAACAAATCTGAAGTCATTGTTTGTACGTGAGTTTCGTATTTCATAAATATCAAGAACAGTATAATAACAGTCAGTATTTTTATAGCATATTGCATCCTTTTGACATTTAATTCTTGATTAACGCTTATCGTTTTCAATTAAATACATTTTAAATATCAAAGACTTCGACGAGGGTTTCGATATTTTAAAACAGTTGTCCGTCAGTGAATACTAGTTCATACATGTGCATTTCCTTTGCATATTTATAATTGTGCACCCACCTTCTAGTACTTGATTGAATAATTTATATTAGTCGTCTATGTAAACATCCACCTTCTAGTACTTGATCGAATAATTTATATTAGTCGTCTATGTAAACATCCACCTTCTAGTACTTGATCGAATAATCTATATTAGTCGTCTATGTAAACACCCACCTTCTAGTGCTTGATCGAATAATCTATATTAGTCGTCTATGTAAACATCCACCTTCTAGTACTTGATCGAATACGCTATATTAGTCGTCTATGTAAACACCCACCTTCTAGTGCTTGATTGAATAATTTATATTAGTCGTCTATGTAAACACCCACCTTCTAGTACTTGATTGAATAATCTATATTAGTCGTCTATGTAAACACCCACCTTCTAGTGCTTGATTGAATAATTTATATTAGTTGTCTATGTAAACACCTGCCTTCTAGTATTTGATTGAATAAACATGAACTCAGACTTACTATATTACTATAGTATATTGACTGTAGACTGGTGGTAGGAGGATACTATAGTATATTGACTGTAGACTAGTGGTCGGAGGATACTATAGTATATTGACTGTAGACTAGTGGTCGGAGGATACTATAGTATAAATACTGCACATTAGTGATCGGAGGATACTATAGTATAAATACTGCACATTAGTGACCGGAGGATACTATAGTATATTGACTGTAGACTAGTGTTCGGAGGATACTATAGTATAAATACTGCACATTAGTGATTGGAGGATACTATAGTATATTGACTGTAGACTAGTGTTCGGAGGATACTATAGTATATTGACTGTAGACTAGTGATTGGAGGATACTATAGTATAAATACTGCACATTAGTGTTCGGAGGATACTATAGTATAAATACTGCCCATTAGTGATCGGAGGATACTATAGTATAAATACTGCACATTAGTGATTGGAGGATACTATAGTATAAATACTGCACATTAGTGATTGGAGGATACTATAGTATAAATACTGCACATTAATGATTGGAGGATACTATAGTATAAATACTGCACATTAGTGATCGGAGGATACTATAGTATAAATACTGCACATTAGTGATCGGAGGATACTATAGTATAAATACTGCACATTAGTGATTGGAGGATACTATAAATACTGCACATTAGTGATTGGAAGATACTATAAATACTGCACATTAGTGATCGGAGGATACTACAGTATAAATACTGCACGTTAGTGATCGGAGGATACTATAGTATAAATACTGCACATTAGCAATTGGAGGATACTATAGTATAAATACTGCACATTAGTGATTGGAGGATAATATAGTATAAATACTGCACATTAGTGATTGGAGGATACTATAGTATAAATACCGCACATTAGTGATCGGAGGATACTACAGTATAAAGACTGCAGATTAACAAACAAAGCACAAGTTTATTCCTTTTTGTATTATGTACACTATTCTCAAAGAACAAGGAAACACAAACTTAGGCATAAGTATTTATAAATTAATTATATCAACAAAACACCTAGTAATTACCTCTAAGAATTCATAGTAAATTAATCACCTCATTACTGTGTGTCATTGTTCATGGATGTCGATAAGAAACAGTGATATATCTTATGGAAATGTGGAGTCTGCCTCCTTGTGAGTTTACTCCATGATTTGGTGTAAAAACTTGGTAAGGTGTCACAACTATTTGTTGGCTCAAACAAACGAGCTGTATTTATATCGCTGCATATCTTAATTATTGCATCAAAGCAAGCTACTGACATATATCAGAACTAAACATCAACTCGGTAATCAAAGCTACTAATTAAGTATATCTGTTAACGAGGAATATTAACGGAACCTATGATTATTAATAAGAACTTCTGGGTGAAAGTAAAGAGTGTCTAATTTTTCAACCACAGTATATCTGCTAAAAGCCAGTGCCAACAAGGCCTTTCGCCCAATACCAGGGTTCTTCAGGCGATGATAAGGTCACGTGACCAGTTTAGTCAGAACATAATAATTTAATTCCACATGACAAGTGACATATGCAAATTTATCACTGGTGTGTTATAACATTAATCCTTAATCACTCTATATAAGTCTATATATCTATAAAAGTCAGAAGCACCTTACTTTTTACTAGAGAAAATAATAACTTTATAATATGGGCTACCTATCCTTTGAACACAGCGGATAAACTGTGAATCTAGAAAATAATAACTTTATTATATAGGCTACCTATCCTTTAAACACAGCGGATAAACTGTGAATCTAGAAAATAAAAACTATTATATAGGCTACCTATCCTTTGAACACAGCGGATAAACTGGGAATCTAGAAAATAAAAACTTTATTATATGGGCTACCTATCCTTTGAACACAGCGGATAAACTGTGATTCTCAAATCTACTTTGGATAATTTTGCATGAATTTGTAAAATAGCCTAAATATCATTCTTAATACATACTGAACACACTAGCTAAACGTCAACAGTATTAGTATCTCGGGTTCAAATACCTCAACCACACTACCTACCATCTAGCCCATTCTCTCATCATAGGTCCATATCACGTAACCTTGAAATAAATAAGATATACAACAGTGCCATCTATACGTTAAAAACAAAAAACTTACTATATTACTAAACAGATGACTTCTGCCTTCCAACAATTCACCAACTATTTGGTATAAACCTATCTCATTACGGCCAAATAATAATTTTTGAAATACAGTAAACACCTACAAAGCATGCAAAGCTTTTGAGTGATATATATAGAAATAATATGCGAGAATATGAATAAACTAGAGTACAAAGACAAGAAGAATTTGGATTTATTGTAAATAACATTCAGTTTGAACTTTTGAAAGGAACATAACTTGTATTTTGCAATTATGGCAATGTTATGAAGGCTGTTTGCTGCCGTCCCTAATTTTGAGCTACTGACGAGAGAGAGAGAAGGGAGACAGTCGACAGCACCCTACCACTCATGCTAACGGATTGACTGTTACTCTTATATCGCACACATAGGTTAAAGAACAGGGAATACTTTTTGGTATCGCATAGGCTCAAACCTAACTCGCCAACATCAAAATTCAGAGCTTTATCACATAGCCCACTAAGAAACGAACTATACATATTAAGAAATAATCAAGAAAATTGTTTATTACATACATTTATAGCGACTCAAAATTTTAAAGTTACATTAAAATGATACAATGGTTAATATATTCTTTTTTATCTGAATACAATTATATTATCAAACTTTGTAATAAAAGGTCATTTTAATTTCATACTATTCTGAGAGACAATTGGGTGTGACTCACCTTATTAGGAGGCGTCCACCCACAGCCAGCAAAAGGAAGACCATCAGGGCCAAGAGGACAGGGGGCATCTAAACCAGGAACACCCTGTAGATGAAAACTGGGTATAATAGCACGTTTAACTCGAAAACCATGCTTAATACATTCACACATTATCGTCATATGACAAGTAATTTTCATTTTGAAAAACCATACAAGCTACAAATTACTATTTGTCTGCAACAGAGTAACGTGACTGTGTGAGTCGAAGTAAAATATTAAATCAAGTGTAGGTATTTTAAAGTGATCACCAACAGGGAAAAACAAGTAAATAAAGGACCTTAGTTTACCAAACACAAAATAAAAACAAAACTTTGATTATTCGTTTGCTCACTAAACTTCTCAATAACAAATTGTTCATAAGAAATCAAGAAAAAACGTAAAAAAATGTATGTCAGGCCCGTGAGTAAGATACTTTGCCCAATTTAAAATTATAAAAATAGGGTTGAAAAAGTTTTTTGGCCTATAGCATAAGCCCATCATATTGAGGATATCTAGTGATAAAGACGATAAATCAGTTTGCTTTCAACCAAGAGCATGCATAAGAGAGGGGAAAGGGTCTAGACCCAAAAAAATGCTATGCATACACTGTAATGTTGTTTATTTCCATTCATATGATCTATGCGCATGCGTTGATATAGTTTTGTACATCTAAACATATTTGCATGTGTAATGTGTCCCTCCCTCCAACAGAGGTCAAATTTAAATTCCTGCACACAGCCCTGTCTCCAAGTTAGTTTTTTTTTGTTTAAAGAGAGTGTATAACTTAGGTTGAGAATACCAAAATCACTGCTAAGTGTTCTTTGGGAATGAAGCATGCATTCAACTTCAAATAAGCTGTTGTAATAAGAAGAAAACATTGTAATCAAGATGGGGAATTATATGCAAAAGGCACATCGGTATGTCTGCGAACTTACAACGCTAGAATCCAGGTTTCAATACCCGTGATGGGCAGAGACAGATAATCCATTGTGCAGCTTTGTGCTTAATCACAAACAAATAAACAAAAAACATGCAAAACATTAATCTAATAATGGCTGGAGACGGCTTAAATTAATCTAATATTTACTTACCCGATCACCTGGTTCTCCTTTATCACCTTTCTTCCCTCTTCTTCCCACCATACCCTTTAAAATATCAATTCAACGTCATTATTATATAGTTTTGATTTATATATCTTACAGTTCCACATTTTTGTTTCTAAGATAAGCTCATGAGTTCATTGCTTTATATAAAACCAGTTACTAACATAACCATTCTTTATATTAATTTTGATAAGAAATAATGATTTTCATCGCTTTCAATGACATAATTCAGAAAGAAACAATTTTAATTTTTGCAATAAAGTTATCAAAGAAATTAGAACACCATACTTCAGATAGTAATGCAAAAAACCACAAAACTTCAACATCAAAACAAAGCACACACTTATACAAAAGAAGACTTAAAAGCCAACTAACTTACAGGAGATCCCATATCACCCTTATCTCCTTTAGGACCCTATTTATAAAAATAAACAGTATTGTATATAACACATCAAATAAATCAAGTGTATCTGTCGTTGAAAACAACTATTAAAAAATGCTTTAATACATATACTTGTACAGTTTGTGCTACAAGATATGATCACAGTAGAGAAATAACGATACAAGTTATTTCATCAGACAGTTCCTTACAAAAACAAATTAACAACTATCTTCACTTACATGACCCTTTATTATAATTATCTCGATTAACTAATTAACTCCAAGTAATTTATAAAATACATTTACGAAAATAATCAAAACATATCTACCATCTCTCCTGGTACTCCATCAATCCCACTTTCACCTCGTGATCCCCTTGGACCCTACAAGATTGTTTTATAAAGTTCAGTTTAAATTTATTATCTTACATATGAGCAGGAATTGTTACACAAACACACAGTTTCAAGAGAGAAGTTGTGAGCTCTACATTTACTTTGTTTTGGTTTTGTTTAATATTTATTTATTATTCCTTCTATTATGTAGTTCAACTATAACTTTTTTGTTATATTAAAGAGCTAGCTCACCTTCTAGCTAGAGCATGCTGGATTAAGTCATAAAGAAGTATAAAATATAAGAGTTACTTACAGGTAATCCCATGGGTCCATGATTACCCCTTTCTCCCTCTTCACCCTAGTTTATAACATGTTAACATAGTTGTTGAGTGCATGAAAATGTAACATTACTTCTCAGTAATAAAAATAGCACTATTTCTTCCATTCATCATGTCAAATGAACATGGTCTTAGATGTATATGTATACTCCTTGATTAATCACTATTTCTATATCCAGCTTTTTCTTCAATGCATGTTTTTTTAAAGCAGGTGTTAAAAATCATTGTTCCAAAGATGTCTGGTTATCTTACCTGATACTTCACATATTATTGTAGTTCTTAACATACCAAACACTATTACAACAACAATCATGAACATTTCTGAACAACTGTGATTATAAAACAAGACAGGATGATAATAGAATTATACTTTATTTTAACTTTGTTAAATAAAACTAATATAAATGTTTTTGTTTACACATCTCATTTTCCGCAGGTGAAAAACTAATGAAGATATGGTATTCTGTAGCATAAGAATTTGAGATTAGTTAAGTGTGTATTCCAGTGCAGTCTGAAGGAAACTATTGTCTTTGTAGATCTTGAATGACTGTTTGACAAAACACATAATGCTTTTTTGACAGATATTAACTATTTAAGTGAATTAGCACAATACAAAAAAAATTCAGCTTGACATATCAAATGTCTACAACTGCTAACTTACACGGTCACCTTTTTCCCCATGTGTCCCCTTGTCACCCTTCATTCCTGGAGGACCTTGTGCTCCTCTTAATCCCTAAGTAGAAAAAATAACCATAAAGCTAGCTTTAGTGTTGTATCAATTGCAATAAAATATTTAAAAATGAAAAACTTTTTTCCAAAGAAAGCATACAAGATATAAATTTAAGCCTGAGATCATGTAAAATATTTCATTTTATACATTTAGCCATTTTTTTCAAGTCTTTGAACTATAATTGTTGACTTATTTTGTCACTTGTATATTTATAATATGAGGGTAATAAATAAAATAGGTTTGGTCAACATTAGAATTAATGATTGCTACACATGAAATGGATGTTTAAGGAAACACTCTCAATAAAAAAAACAAGATGTAAAAAGCTTGAGCCAGCCAAGAACTAACCAGAACTTAACTTACTATGTATAAGAAACAAAAGGTGTGCTACTAGCTAATTCAGAAAAATTCATGTTTCTATGTTACAAGATATATTAAAAATTACAAAAGTTTCAGAAATAGGTGAAACACTACAAGTGTTTTTCAAATGGAGTAGCTATCCAACACTTTCTGTGATTTAAACTTACTAAATGTTAAAACCTCACAGAAGCAATACCACAAAATGTTCCCAATATATCTGAAGTATTTCCATTACTTACTGGAAGACCAGGAGGTCCTGGAGGGCCTATAACCTGTAATAAAAAGTCTCTATCACCTGGTTAAACCTCTTACAATTTTTTTAATTACGATTAATGTTGCATATTATTTATTAACATAATACTGAACTTGTTAGAACCTTCTAAAATTCAAGCATGTCAAATTTTATATTTTATAGCTTTTATTAACAAACTTGCTTTGCAGTAACACTATAATATATTAGTACTTCAAAAAAGCAAACTGATCAATCATAAGATTTATATATACCTGTTAAGAAAAAACATAAATTTAAAGACTATGAAAACCTAAAACCTTCAAATAGTAATTCTAAAATCTAGTAAAAAAAATAGATGTTAGAAAACTATAATGAATACACAGAAAGCCAAGAAAAGCCTGAATATATTACAAAGGACAAAGAAAATATGGTGCAATATATTACACACACAAAAACTAGCAATACATTATTGTGTAAATCTTAAAACAATTCTGAAGCTGTCTTTAAATGGTCTTCATGGATCTGAACACATTTACAATTTTGAATATTGTTTTGTGTACTTTTAAACAGATTTTAATACAGAAAATATATTTTGAAAGTGAGAGATAAATATAATAGCAAGAGCTGTACCTTATACAGTAAAACATTTTGAACAAAATACAAACATAAGTAGTACTTACAAATTCCTTTGTGCCTTCTAAGCTACCATTAATCTGATAAAGGAAAAAAAATAATAATTGAACCATAAAAGTAAAAATATTGTTATAATTTAGATGTATAGGGAGCATGTTAGTATGTCATGATGACACAATATCTAGGAATTTTACGTAATATTTAGAGGTAACAGTACAATATAAATATCAGAATTAGTGATTTAATTAAAAACTAAGTTAATCAGTTCAGTTTCAGTTAGTAAGTTAAACAGTGACAATTAGTGTGTCTGCTATTCAGTTAGTGAGTTAGTCAGCACAATTATTACTGATTGATTAGTGAGGAAATTTTGCAAATATATTTCTAACAAGTAAGGTGTAAGTTAGTTTCCAAGCTTCTGTTGAAAAGTTGTTTGTGAAGTTAGGCTTACTTTTCAATGTAGCAAATGTTATTGAAGAAATAAATTAATTTGTTATCGTTATGTGGCTGAACATCATATTATTTTTACCAAAAAATCCCAATGAACCCACACAATGATAGAAAATGTGACATCATGGTTTCAGAAATGGAACTGACTAAACATTAACTTCAAAATGACAACATGATAACAATATCAAAACTTTGCTGGAGAGGTTGAAATAGTTATAAGAAAACCAAAAAAAATCACAGAAAATTAAAAAAGAACAAGAAGAAAGAGACATAAAATAAAAAGATCATGAAGAAAGTTTTTTTTTAATTTTGCATAAAGCTACTTGAGAGCTATCTGTGCCAGCCAGTCATAATTTTGAAGTGTTAGACTAGAGAGAAAGCAGCTAATCAACACAATCCACCAACAACTCTTGGGGTACTCTTTGCTAACAAATAGTGGGACTGATTGTCACATTATAAGGCCCCCATGGCAGAAAGGGTGAGAATGTTTGGTGATGGTATTTCAACCTATGACCTGCAGACTGTGAGTCATGTATTCTAACCACCAATCCTTTCATGAAGAAGAAAGAGACCAAAAATTAGAAGAAGACTAAGAAGAACAAACCAGGAATTTAGGAGAGAAGTTAGAAAAAAAAGAGGCATAACATTTAAAGGATTATAAACAAAAATAAATATGACTGAAGATAACATCCACAAAACTATTGGGGATTACAACAACAAGAATTGAAGAAGTAAAGAAAGGTTATAATGATAAAATTGAAGAAGTACAAAAAGGCATCTATAATGCACAGAAAAATTATAACAACATAATCAATTAGGTAGAAAAGAACATTAATGACAGAATAAAATATTTGGAAAAAGAATTAGTAAATGCAAAGATCAAACCAACCATACCTCTTTCTATACCCAATCACAAATTTCAATATACAACACCATTTACTATTAAATAAGGAATAGGAGAATCTATTTGGTCCACATCTGTTATCACTATTGCTGTGCCATCTTTGACTGAAGGAACTTCCTGGCCTACTACAGCCATGACAGTATCAAATCCAGTTCCAGAGTTTAGCTGTGCAATTCAATTACATCACCCAATCAAGAAACCAACAAGTACCATGGGAGACATATCAGGCTCAGTTTGAAATAATTTCCAAACTGAATGGGTTGAATAATGAATAGTAAGCTACTTATCTTGCCACTCATTTAAAAGGAACAGTCTTAACAACATTAAGCAACTTTCCAGCTGAGACCTGTAACATTTCTGAAACATTAATACGTGCCTCATAAAACAGGTTCAGAGTGACACACCAGAAGCAAGTATCTAGAGCAAAATTCTCTAGCTAAATTTGTGGGAGATTTGGAAAGGCTTGTCTATCTTATCCAGATGCTCCATGTGAAATGATGGTTTCTTTGGCATGTGACCAACAGATGTCAAAACAGATGAGGATATGAAAATTAGGCTAAAACAAAATAGGTGTTCATCTTTAAAAGCTCTTCAGTTGACAATTAAACTTAACTGACTCCATGAATCCATTAAAGTCATGGATAAATAACTAAAAGCTTCATCTTGAAGTTACAGGACCATCAAATCAAATAGTACAGAAACATCAATTCCCTATAATGATAGTCTAGACTCTTGAAGAATTGAAAGGATTACTTAGACAGCTGACTACACAGAATGAAGGAAATAAACCACAAGACAATAGGTGTTTCAAATGTACACATTGCCAGGAACTGCAGACAAAAGCCTGTATGAAATAAAAATTCCTCCCAAAAGACACTATAAAAAGAGAACAATTATAAATGTGGGAAACATTACTTTTACAGACAAGACTGTGAGGAATCAACAGCTGTTAATACCATAAGGATGAATCTCAGAGCCCAATGTGACCAAAAGAACATCAAAGAGCTAACCAGATATCAAAACATGGAATTTAGCTTGACTTATGGAGAAAACTTCAACTAAGAATGTTCCAAATGAGATAAGAAGCTCATTGCTTTAAGAAACCTGTCATTGACTTAAAGGTTTATAAATGGGAAGCCTTGCAGTATATTGATCAACACTGGTTCTACAGTTACAATAATTTGACCTGATTTGATAATAAGAGATGGGAAAATGTTTCCATTAGTGAAGAAAGAAGATGGATTGATGTTAACATCAAGTGGACATAAAGTTCCATTAAGAAAACATTTAGAAGTTACTCTTACTGTAGAAAGTGTCTCTACACCTCATGATGGGTGAGTAACTGACATCGAGGAAGAGTGCATACTGGAAACTGACTACATGCAAAGACATAGATATGAGGTTAGGCTAGCTTCAAATAGCTTCACAGTCTATGACCAGGAAATCCCTGTGCACTCCATAACAATTACTGCACCAGAAAATGAATTTTCAGTGATAACAAAGAGAACAATCATTGGGATTAACTAAATCTATTGTCAGAGATTCAATAAAACCAAACACTCCAACTTGTCTTGATGTATTAATATTTGGATGAACTCTTACGGATCTTCAGAATAAAAATGTTATAATTAGGGCCATAAACTTAACAAACCATAAAAACTGAGTCAAGTCTGGAAGGAAGATTGCAAGATATGATGTTGTACAGGTAGTACTTCCACATCAAAGAACTTCAAAAGTAGTTACTTGTGAGGAAAAATTAATGAAGTCTGACATCAAATTCTCAAATAAGGACAGTTTACCATCACTAACAACAGCTGTATGATTTGAGTTGTCATGGTCGTATAGCTGGTGAATGTCAAAGGTTACATGACTTGCTCATGGAACATCAAGATACCTTCTCCAGTGGCCTTCATTACTTGAGCCAAAAATATATATACTAGAGATGCAGCTTCAATATGTCAGTCGGCCAGATATCTTCCTTTTGCAAATCAAACATTAGGCTTTCAAAGAAATAGAAAGCATGAAAGAACAAGGAGCGATAGAACCAAGCACTAGTGGTTTTCAGCATTGGATCTGAAGATTGAATACTGGCAAATGCACATTGGTCAAGAAAATACATAAAACTGCCTTTACTGTAAGAAATGAATTGTGATGAGTTGTTGCATTACTATATGGATTATACATTTATCTGTTACAGTTCAATGACTAATGGAATGTGCTGTTTCTGAACTATCCTAGAATGCCATACTCACCTACTTGAACGACATAATCACACATGGGAAGGCATTTGATAATGCTCATGATGGGCTAACTAAAGCTCTGGATTGGTTGACAAAAGAAAACCTTATGATGAATCCCAAGAAGTGTGAATTGTTTCATCAACAGGTGTTTCTTGGGACAATTAGTCAGCAGACTCATCTAAGATTGAATCTGTTCAGAACTTGCATGAGATTAGAGAATATCTGGGACTGTGCTCTTACTATTGTCATTTTGTAAAATCATTCTCTATCATAGCACATCTACAAATAATACTTGAAAAACCATATAAGTGTTGTTGGACTGTTAATTGTGAGAAAACATTAAAAAAAACTGAAGGAATAATTAACCAATAGTCTTGTACTAGAACTTCTGAAGATCCATTCATTTAGGTACAGATGCCAGTGATTTTGAAGAAGGATTAGTGTTACCACAAGTAAAATGTAGAAAAGGACATAAGACTGCCTACTATAGTAAGGTAATAAATGCTGCAGAAAGGAGGTATTGCACAACTCAGAAGGAGGTACTAAGTGTTGTTTGAGCCATCATTACTATAATGAAACATTTTATACTCCAGACAGATAATGGAGCATTGAAATGGCTGGTAAGGTTTCATAATCCAGAATGGAAGACAGCAAGATTGCGACAGAAACTTCAAATACAACTTTAACATCATGCTCACCCTGGGTATGCTTATGCATTATCCTAAAGACCGTATATTAATGAAGGATGTAAACACTATGAAAAGAAGGAAGCCAGAGATAGTAAAAACGACCAGTCTAAAGTATAACAGAGACTAGTCCAAGAGATGACATGAACAAGTAATGATGAAGAACTAATGTGGTACAACATTCAACTGAAAGATGCTCAGGCAAAAGGTACAAGTTTGAAACCAAAATCTGAGTGGATCAAGAATAGTGAAGAAAAACCCTCATGGCAAACAGTCACTCCACACAGCCCAAATACAAAGATGTACTGGCACAGTGGGAATCAACATGTCAACAAAAGGGCTTGTTATGTCAGAAATGAGAAGATAAATGGATGGAAACAAGAACTATAGGTGGTACTTTCACAGTCTCTACATTCAGAAGCACTCCATCATATCCACAATATTCAGATGACTGGACATTCAGATGTTAAGACACTGGAGAGAGTAAGAAAACACTTCTGTTGCAATGGGTGTTGGCAATCTGCAGAGAATTGGTGTAAATTGTATGAACTATGCTGTGAGCAAAAAGATCTATGAAAGAAGCAACATGTGCTGCTATAGCAGTATTATGTTAGAGCACTATTTGAGAGAGCCGCTGTTAATGTGTTTGGTTCTTTGTCAGAGTAACAATGGAAATAAGTATATCAAGGTTGTGATAGATTATTTCAACTAATGGCTAGAAGCATATGCTGTTTATAAAAAGAGACAGACTAGCAAGAAAATTCTTCAATAAATTTGTTTCAATATTTGGTGTGCCTATGAATTTCACTCAGATAAGGGAATGAACTTTGAATCAGCCTTATTTACAGAAATGTGTCAGATCCATGAAATCAAAAAGACAACAGCCATTCTTCCATCTTTCAATAGCATAGTGGAGAGATACAAGCATACATTTCTCAATCAATTAGCCACTTATGTGAAAGAACATCAAATAATGTGGCATCAAGGTCTTCCACTGCTAGTTATGAGTTATCAAACGGTAGTACATGGAGCTACAGGCAACATACTGTCATCACTGATGTTTGGGAGAGAACTTAAAGTGCTGTTGGACATTTTGTACTCTCATTCAGAGGACAGTCACTCAGCAGTTTCTCACAGAATATGAAGAGAGACAAAAGAGTGCCACTAATGTTATACTTGACTTTAATGATAAATTAAAAATCCCTATGATGGTCTGGCTGTAAAAGTTTTGAAAAGAATCAATATGCGGTTTACAGAATCCTAAAGGCAGGCAGTCCAGGTCAAAGGTCATCCACTATGATAATCTTTGGAAGCACATCAATGAAAGAGCAGCCAAGTGGATAATTTCAGAGAAGAATATGCCAGCAAAAAAGTTAACCTGCTAAAGAGTCCAAGGTTCCTGTTGAGACTACTTTTGGATGATTGCCAAGGACAGTGCCACCATTGGATTTGCTCAACTACCACCTAGGGAGAACTCTTCCAGTGACAGGACAACAAATGATGAAAAGAGATTATTGCATCTAAATACCATAACTATCAAAAAAGACTTGATGAATGGACAGTTTAATGCCCTGTTTTATTTGTGTGTTATGGCAGTGTTGTAAGCTATATTTTTAATATCTAAATTTAGAGGTGTTTTTTTTTGCTAGAAGAAGCATGTTATTACATCATGATGACACAATATTTTAGAAATTTCATGAATGTTAGTAATATATGTTTCTGTAGTATCTAGAAATAAGAGTAAAATATAAAAACCAGAATCAGTGAATTAACGAGTAAATAAGTTAATCAGTTCAGTGTCGATTAGTGAATTTAACAGTGGCAGGTGATAAAATTAGTCAGCATGATTATTATTGACTTATTAACAAGGAAAAGTTTATAAGTTAGGCATACATTAGTTTCAGTTTCTGATGAAATGTTGTAGCTGAAGTTAAGCCTACCAGCAAATGTAACCTTTAACAAATGGTACTGAAGAAACAAATTAACTTGGTATCATTACATGGATTGGGCTTCACATTATTTGCCCAAATAATCCAAAAGAATCCACTCAATGACATAACACATTAACAAATATAAAAATATAAATGCTACAAAAAAAACCATTTTTAGTGTATTTATCAAACCTATCCATCTGAATTATTGTGAAAAAATGAATTTATATACATTAATATAATTAACCATGTGATAAACATTTATTAGAGGATTAGATTATAATACATACAGTTAGAGTTTCATAATCTTGTTTATTAATAAACTTATAATGCAGTTTCTAATTTTCTGTCTGTATGTGAAATACTGATGAATATATATTTTTTTGATTTTATAATAAGAGCAAAATAACTTGTAAAATGTACACCATAAACTTTGTCTGTTACTGTATGTAAAACAGGGTGTTAAAAAGTTCTTATATGAAACCCTTGTACTGAATAATATGATTATTTAATGTCATTTCTAACATTCTTGACACTTTAATTTCTGGAAGAAATGTAGTATTTGTTTTAAAAATTAAAATAAAAGATTTTCGCTTCAAAAATATATATTTTTTAAATAAGAATTCTTCAAACAAATACCTTCCTTTGTTCCTAAAATTACTCTGGTAAACTACAGAAAATGAATGTTGAGGTATCACAAAGTGAGATCACTGTAAATTTTTGTTTAGTTTCAAATTAACACAGAAAATAAGACTGAGTTGATAATAAAATATTATTTTACTCATGAAAATATGGTAAAGTCATAAATTTTTAATTTACACACCTGTTGGATGTATCTCACAGGAGACTGTAGAAGAAAAAATATATACATTTAATTTTCAAATTTAAGGTTCTTTAATTCGTTCTTAGAGAATAAAAAACAATGATGAGAATGATATGCATGTAAAAATAAGCAGTTATGTCTTTTCTCATTTATTACATAGGTCTAAAAATGTCATAAAAATTACTGATTTAATTTTCTGAAAATACTAAAAACCTATTTTGAAAGTTTAAATCTTAAGATGTAGAATGTCCTAGCTGGCAGAGCTAAACATTTGGTAATATTTGTATAGGTGATACTACATCACAATAAGACAGATAAATTTAAATCCAAACAATTTTTACTGGTCCACTATGGGTACAATAGAATTTCAACTATACCTTGTCATGCTCCACCATCATGTTAAGGCATTCTACACCCTAAGTATTGTTTTCTTTTAAACAATGTATTAACAAAGATTTCATATGTTTTAACCCAGATGGCCTAACAAGATCTAGTATTGAGTGAAAGGCCTCACTGGCAATGGCATAGAATGAACAATAAAAAGTTAAAATTCTATTATATACTGGAAACCCATACTGATCCGGTAAAAAATAAAGAGCATTAAATTATTCTTAGACTTACTGCAATGTAACATGACACAGCTCTTTTTCTAAGGGTTATTTTTTACACCAATAAATAATTTCATAGAGAGGTTGCACATTCTCTGCCTCATTCAAAATCACAAATATAAATCTAGTGATTGATGGTTATCTCTATAAAAGGACACAAGTCTACATTATGACTTTGAATCTACAAATCCACCTCATTGTTTGTGCAGCTTTTATTGGGCAGAAACATTTATAAAATTACCCAGGATGTGTCACTGTTGACGTTTCTAATTCAGTTCCAAACTTAATTTTTGTACATTCCACCATATGGACTTAAACTGATTCTGCACCTTTAGGTCAATAAAAAACAATAAATGAAGACTATGGTCTGCAGTATGCAAATCCCAGTAGTTTATTGGTTAGATCACTAAACCAATAAACTGTATGTAGGTTTAAACCTCTCTCAGTCACATATTTTACTTTAAAAAATACACAAATACTTGAAATTAATAAGAACTATGTGCTATTCATTATTTCTAATATTTTTAAGTTTGAATAAAAATAGAATGAAATTTCAGCCAGCATTTCTTATCCTAAATTACCAAGCAGTTTTTTAAATATTACTAACACCATACTATATGAAAATCTCTGGTAATAGAGAACTTTCTTCGGTGACACAAATGATTAAGATTTAATGCACAAAACAAGCTGACTAATACATGAATGTTGAAACTTGTACTTTAGGACTTGTACTTTTGAGCTTTAAACATCATCTCATAAATTAATTATTAATTTAAAAATCATGATGTTATGACAGAAATAAAAAGGTTATTTTTTTAACTCAAATGAAACAAATGAATCTCATACTGAAATTCAAACTTAAGACTTATTGCCAGAGTTTTTCATTTTTTATAAAAGAAACTATTTCTAGTTTGCCTCTTACTTTAGAATCATATTACAGATATTCAAAGTTTCAATATTAGAATGACCAGATTTTAAATCAAAAAGCCAGAACAGCCCAGCTATTAATTTCAAATAGGTTGTTACAAATTTGGAATAATTTATATCTTATTTAATCTACTTTAAATTTATTGAACGGTTCCACAATATTTCCAAATATGTTAACATTGGCATTGTTTTTGTAATAATTTAAACTATTTTTTTTGGTGATAGACACAAAACAAATGCCCAAAAATAGTCAAATTATACATCCAAGAAATCTTTAATTGTTCACATTATCCAATTTATCATAAAATAGGCTAATTAATATTTGGACTTATTTAAGAATCCATAACACTTTGAAATATGCTACTTTCAGGTTTTAGCATTACTTTGAAACTTTATAGACATATTTTTGTGAAGAACGAATGGGATGTAGAAATTCTGTTTTTTAATCAAATAGTTATAAAATTCAGTACATGATGGTGTAAAATGTGTTTTGACCATGAGCACTGCTATAACTGTCTCCATATTCAGACATTGGTGACAGGATAGTATATGTTATAACAATGAGCAAGTCAAGTATGCCTATTACATTTATGATTCGACATAACTGGCAGTTTGATGTCTTTATCATAAAATTGGAATGTCTTGTGCATCCCAAGAACTTTTCTTGGGACACTAAGACAAACTACTAAAAAAATAGGACTGTCCCAACAAAACCAGGACATCTGGTCACCTTATTCAATATACTACCATTCATCTAAAGATAGTATAGCAAAAATCTTTATGACTTGAATCTGTTTTGTCCACCTAGTTGAAATATGTCATACATATTGTATTATGTGCTAAACTAAACATTAGAAGATTAACTAATTGAAAAGTAACATGGCAATGATATGTACTCAAAATAAGATGTTTCTAATTTTGAAAATGATATTGAAAACTTGCTGTTAAAAAGTAAAACCATGTCCTTAAACTAAATTACACATCAATAAATTTTCTAATGCAACAGATGATTCGGACAAAAGTTTAAAGCAAAAAAAGGGTATGTGTAGTAAGTCTGGAGCAAAAGCAAAATGCCAAATATGTTTAAAATTTTGGTAAATGAGATATAACAATTACATAGGTTATACTTAAACAAATCAGATAGCACTTTGCATTTAATAAAAGTTATTAATGCTACATTATCACATAAGAAACAGGTCTTACTTTGTTCAAAACCAAAAAAAATTAAAATACCTTTTGAGAAAGCGAATTCTACTTTTATTTTGTTATGGTTTTGTTTACTATTCATTTGTTATTCCTTCTATCATTTAGTTCAAATATGAATTTTAGTTACATTAAATCACTAACTCAACTTCTAGCTAGGGCACATTGATTTTAAGTATATATGTATTATGAAACTGACACAAGCCTTCTCTAGTGGTAATGTACAGATATTAATGTTGTGAAAGACTACGTAGATTAATGGTAATGACTAGTCACATGAGATGTATTTTGGTCTAACCACTAAATAAAAAGCCTTCCTTGATCTTGAAAAGAAGTTAGTTCATGAGATATAGTTAGAATTATTGCTATTTAATTCTTGATATTAAGAAATGTATAATTTTGAAATATTGTGTTATTTTCTTGTGAATTAGGTTTTTATTCTTCTGTTTCTTTTTCCTAATTCATATGATATTTATTGAGATTTATGTTGCATTGTTTATAAACATTTGTACCTAGTCCTAGCCAAGCACAGGTTTACTAACTGTTTTTTTTTTTTTGTAAGTGGTAATATTTGCATCCTAGTTGTTTGAAAGTTTTTGTTTGTATTTATGTTGTTATATTTAATAAATTGTTTTTGTTTGACCCTGGTTGTAGTTGTGTTTTGATTTGTCCATTATAACCTTACTCCACAGTGGGTTAATTTCACAATATAAATAAGACTGAGCTCAAAGTCTAATAATGGGAGTACAAATAAGATTAAGTTTGATGTCTGATAATGGGTCAATTCCAAAGTACCATAAGAATGAGTTCACAACCTGATAATGGATCAATTCCATAGTATAAATAAGACAGTTCACAGTTTAATAATGAGTGAATTCCATAGTACAAGTGAGACTGAACTTGAAGTATTATATACATTAAATAGTACAAATAAGACAGCTTGATTATTATTAATTATACTTGTCATAAGACATTAGTATTAGACCTATTACATTTTTAAATACTGCATCTATATATATATAGTCCCTTACAGATTTTCAAGAATTAGAATAGTGCATTATAACAATAGTATTCCAACCACACCATATTCATCATATCCAATGCCAATGATGCATTTTGCTCAATCCAGAGCTCTTCAGGTCAGCTTGGATACAACAAATGGTGCAGTGGTTGAAACATCATTAATTAAAGACATTTGTTAAGATGACAATTGTTATGATATGACTGCCTTTTACAAGCTGGCAAAGAATAATTATAATTAATTATACTTCTCATAAGACATTAGTATTAGGCCTATTATATTTTTAAACATAGCTTGGCATGATACCTGGTGGTTATGGTGCTCAACTTGTAAATTTGAATCCCTGTCACTGAACATTCTCATCTTATACAGTTGCTGACTGGTCCAGTTACCCAATTCTAAAAATGCCTGGCTTAAAAAAAATATTGGCTGATCCCAAATTAGTTGGGATTAACGTTATAACAGAAAAAATATTTTTAAACATGACATTCTATATCTAGTCCCTTAGAGATTTTCATGAATTAAAAGAATGTTTCATAATAGTATTCCAACCACACTATAATCATGTTTGGTGTATCCCAGCCAGTCTGAAGAGCTCAGGATTGAGTGAAACTCACCATTGGCAATGGATATAATGAATATAGTGTGGTTGGAATACTATAATTATACACTATTCTCTAAGGGACTAGATATAGATGCAGTGTTTAAAAATATAATAGGCCTAATACTAATGTTTTATAACAAGTATAATAAATTATAATCATGCTTTGCCGGCTTGTAAAAGGTTACATCAAGACAGCTTGCTTTTTGATAATGGGTCAATTAACAAGCATATAACTCAATTTCAAATAATGATATAATTCATAACAAAAACCTTCTACTGTATCTACATAGAGTATCAACCCAAAACATGCACATCTTCAAGTAGCAATAAATTACTTATTATTGATACCTACCACCACACCCTTTTCACCTTTATTTCCATCCTTGCCTGCTTTACCCTAACAACATGCAAAATGACAAAAAAATCAAAACAAAACATATGGTTATTGTGAATTCTGTTTTAAAATATAAAGTGTACATATAGAAGCTAAAAAGTTAATCATCATATTATGTGATATGCCTAATTAATGCATTTGTAAATGTCTGTCTGGGACCTGCTCAAAGTGAAACCAGAGAACAAAAAATGATATACAAAGCTTATGCAGAGTTTAGCACTAAACTACTGAAAATTTTAGAAAATTTGCAAGATACATCATAAGTGCAAAACAAGATGGACTTCTACGAAACGATGAGAAATAAGTGAGTTAACTAAGCAAAAATACATTCCTGTACGACTCCAAGAGTAGTAAATGTTCAAATGGGAAGTGAAAATAAGAAACAAATTACAAAATGTCAAATTACAAAATAATTCAGAAAACTGTTAGGAAAAATAAGCCTCACAAAAAAAAATATTCTTGGAATCTCCTATCTTTGTGATTGAAAATAACAGATAAAAAATTCCATGAGAGGAAGCTAAATTTAAATGTATCTAGAATATATTTCTGTAGTTGTCATTAACTGACAGGCTTGTTTCTGGCTTGAAAAAATGTTTGCTTGAAATGTTGCCGAGAAAATAAAATAGGACCATAGTTTTTTATGGTGATTTATCTCCAAAAGTCTATTTCTTTATTTTATCACCTTTGCATTTTTTCTACTCATTTATACTTTTATTATGTTCTAAGCCTGTCAAAATGGGTTGGATCCTTAATGTGCATGTCACCAGGTAATCTTAGTCACCTAAATAGAATAATAGTAAATATTAAAATACAGTTAGAGCATGTAAAAAAAATGTATGAAAATAAGAGTCTAAATTATATTTTTTGCTTAACTGTTATAACTGAAAACACTCACAGGGTTATCTTATTGTTTTGGTGTTAACTTCACAATTAAGACAAAATGAAATTTTCTGAATGAACAGTGTCAATTAGGCAGAATTTCTACAAAAAAAAACAAATTATACATGAACAGTATGATGGGATAGTTAGAAGAAAGTTGGTCAAACAGGAAATTAGGACATCAAGAAGGACGTATGAAACATGATTAGCTGCAAATGTAAAATTTAACAGTAAGGATTTCTTTAAATATACTAAGGGTAAACAAAACTTTAGGATGGGGGTAGGATCTTTGAAGAAGGATGAAGGTTCATATCTGATGATTATGAGATGGCTGGGTTATTAAATTTTGCTTTTTCTTCAGTTTTTACTAATGAAGATTTAAGCAATTTTCCTCACCTTGAACATTTGATAGATGGAGACAAGATTGAACAAAATGTTCACATTAATTCTGAGCTTGTTAAGAAAAAATTAGGAAGTTTAAAGAATGATATAACGCTCTGGGCCATATAATATTTCTCCAAGGGTTTTGAAGAAGGATATATGAGCCACTTGCTACTATTTTTTGTCATTTTTTTGAATGGTGAGCAGGTGCCAGATGATTGGAATTTGACTAATGTTACTCCTCTTTTCAAGGAAGGTGATAAAAATTGTCCCAGTAATTATAGACTCATTAGTATTACATCAGTTGTGGGAAAAGTTTTGGAAAGTCTGATAAAAGATGCTTTGCAAAGTCATTTAACAAAGTTTAGAATTTTATTTGATATTCAACATGGTTTCACTTCTTGCCTTACACATCTTTTGACATTCTTTGAAAAGGTTACTGCTTATGTAGATGGAGGTAAGAGTGTATATTTGATGTATCTAGATTTTCAGAAAGCATTTGACAAGATGCTTCATAAAAGACTTGTAAAAAAATATATCTAAAGGTGTGAGGGATAAGTTAGCAAATTGGATAAAAAAGTGGCTGAATGGAAGAAAGCAGAGGGTTGTTATAAATGGAGTTTAGTCAAACTGGATTAATGTCACAAGTGGGATACTTCAGGGCTCAGTCTTAGAACCTTTTCTCTTTTTGATTTACATCAATGACACAGATGAAGGAATGGTAAATAAATTACTTAATTTTGAAGATGATATTAAGGTCTTGGGTGTTGCTAGCT